AATACAACTCAAATACAATTCACTGCCGCAATAACTATTATTTATAATAATATATATTTATATTTAAATTTCCTTTTTTTTTTTTTTCGTTCTCTAAGGCACTTTAATACTTTATCAATAATTTTAAACTTTTCTGCATTTTATTTATTTTTATAACAAGTTTCTTTTTTTTGGGTCTATTTTTAGCTACTTTCTCAAGAATTCTCTTTACTTTTATGATATTTATTTGGGCTTTAGTTTAGTCTGGCTAATTGAAGTTTAAGTTGGTTTCGTAACAGTTGAGCGCATAAAATTGTATTAGCGAATTGAAAAGTTATTGCTAACTGCTTTAGGTGTAGACTTATATGTATATATGTATATGTATACCTAGAGACATACAATAGATACAAACACCAATTGTTTTTCCACTTTTATGTTTTCTTAAGTTTTGTTGTTTTTTTTTTTTTTTTTTTTTTTTTTTTTTTATATGTTGTTCCCAAGACACTCGCAAAAAATGTTTTCCCACACACGACAATTGCTCTACAGCAAATTATGAAATCTGCCAACTCTAAAAAAAAGCGCCCGTAATTCCTATATAGTAGTTCTTTTAAGGCCTGAACAACAAGTCCCCGTCCATGCCACGGCTGAAGCATGTGCCTTTTGTCTATACTTCTCGTTATGTTTTTAACATTTATATGTGCACAAGTTTGACTTTAAGTTCAACACTAAAAAAAAGCATATACAAAACTAGTTTAATGCATATGATTTTCCGGATTTGTAATGGTTTCTTTTTCCTTTTTTTTTTTTTTTCTTTGTTTTCTTCTTTAACTCTTCTCTTCACTTCATACTGTTTAAGTTTATATATATGTATGTATATATATATATATTTATTAAATTAATGCTCAAACTAATCATCGCCTTTACTAGTACAAATATCACGGTTTGCATTTACCCATTACGGTTGAAAACGTATTTCTAATTAATTGTTTCGTTAATTGTTTAATTTTAGGCATTCAACTTGAACATCATTCTCATCAAGGTTTCTGTATAATTGTAATTTGTTTTCCTCTTCTTCTTCTATTAGATCTATATATGTATATCTATATACTCGTAAGTCTGTATGCATTATATGTATTCTTCAATTGTTCAGCATTCTAATTTTAAACGTTTCCCAAGTCTATGTAATTCATTTAATTATTAAACGTTTTAAACTTTTATTTTGTAGCGGCTTTTGTTTGTTTTCAATTGCTGCTGTCTAGCTCTAAGATTAACTTCAACTAGTTGCCTAAGCCTATTTGTTGCCCCCACACTTTATCCGTATATTCGCTTCGCAACTTAAACTCTGAGAAGTTCGGCCTAGTAGACGACCCCAAATGTTGGCCTACATAGCATATACATATATTTAGATATATAAATGGTTAGACTATTGTGGCTAGGAATTTCTATATGCCTCGAAGAGCAAATCAACCTAACAACCATTCAATGGCAGTTGATATACAATAACGGGTTTATCATCTTTATTTCTTATGAAAACATAGTTAAGGGGAAGTACGAAATTCAAATTATAATGAAATTACATTAATGATGCTTAATCGATAATTGGAAGCAGAACTAAATCATAATGACTGCCAATGCAGCGTGTGCGACTGCAAAGATTGGATTCCCCTGCAATCGTATGGAGGCTGCATTGCATGGAAATGATGTGAGCTCTATAGAATCCTCGAGAAACTCTTCAGCTGTATGGCAGCTCCGGCTAACTAACTAACCCTAATTATGTTCAGCATTTAAAAAAGAAACAACAACAACTAACTACGTTTAACGTACTTAAGCCGTGCTCCTAAGGCTTCGCTTATGCATATAGAGTAGAAAAAAACACCCGCTCCGAACTCGACTCGTCCATAAACCTAAGTAATTCTCTAGGCCTAAGCTAACTAACTAATACTAACTGTAAAACACACGCACACATACGTACACACAAGCACACACACACACACACACACACACACACACACGCACACACATACACATGTACACGTAGACGAGCGCGCCGTAAGGAAGGGCCTCTAGGAAATAGAATAGATATATATATATACGTAGGATAGAAGGACAGATTAGCATGGCATGGCCATTCGATGCAGTCCCTCTCGCTCTCTATAGCATTGCGAATATAAATAGTGTATTTCGCTCCTCCTGCTTTTGCTTGTGCAGCCGTTGCAGCTGCTGCTGCAGTCTTGAAGAAGTCGACGCTCAACTGTGCTTCATGATTAGTTACTATATCGCACAGCCCTTGCGCATGCCGTACATGATCTTCAGCTCGGGATAGATGATCTTGCGTATCAGCTGATTCGTTTTGCCCGCCAGCATCGCGCGCCGATTGTCCTTCTTCAGGACCTTGATGCCCGGCTTGTGCACCAGAAACGCATTGTCCAGTATGTGGAACTCGTAGTCCAGCACGCACAGCGAGTAACCCTGCGCAAATCAGATTGAATACAGCTGCGACTGCCATGAGGAGATCAGCGTGCTTACCTGCGTCATCTTGTCGCTCTTGCCCTCCCAGCTGAGCCGCTCGTCGTAGTGGGGATCCGCATGGGTGCCAATATAAATGGGCTCCCAGTGCACATAGTAGCCGGTGCGCTTGCCTATGTGAAACACACTCAGCTCGTCCGTCTCGTTGGCCGCCATCCACTCCTTGGACTTGGGCACGCCGTGACAACTGGCGCACACCCGCTTATGGAAGGGTATGGCCTTCCCGGTGCGCAGAAACTCCTGCAGCTCCGTCTTATCGTGCGGCACCGGAGAGTTCTCATCCACCTCGAATATGCTCAATGGAAAAACTCTGCGAAAGCATACGATTGAAATTTCATTAGAATTTGAATTGATATACTTGACATTCAGCTTAATATTAAACTCTGAAATATATAAATATTTGTCAATGGCTCGACTTAAGCTTCGAGCTGCTTTATGTTCTCAGTCTCTTTGTAGGGTAAATAAAAGTTCAATTAAACTGGATTTCTGTGTATAGCAACAGCTAAAAAATGCTAATAAATTAAATATCATGTTTTCTTAACAGTTTTTTGAGTCATTACAATTTATTAAAAATTGTTAAACAAAAAAAATTTAGATATATAT